CACAGACCAGAAACCACAGACCAGACACCACAGACCAGAAACCACAGACCAGAAACCACAGACCAGAAACCACAGACCAGACACCACAGACCAGACACCACAGACCAGAAACCACAGACCAGAAACCACAGACCAGAACACCACAGACCAGACACCACACAGACCAGAAACCACAGACCAGAACAGACAACAGACCAGAAACCACAGACCAGACACCACAGACCAGAAACCAGACCAGACCACAGACACCACAGACCAGAGACCAGACAGACCAGAAACCACAGACCAGAAACCACAGACCAGACAGACCACAGACCAGACACCACAGACCAGACAGACCACAGACCAGACCACAGACCAGACACCACAGACCAGAAACCACAGACCAGAAACCACAGACCAGAAACCACAGACCAGAAACCACAGACCAGAAACCACAGACCAGAAACCACAGACCAGAAACCACAGACCAGAGACAACAGACCAGACACCACAGACCAGAAACCACAGACCAGAAACCACAGACCAGACACCACAGACCAGAAACCACAGACCAGACACCAGAGACCACAGACCAGAAACCACAGACCAGAAACCACAGACCAGAAACCACAGACCAGACACCACAGACCAGAAACCACAGACCAGAGACAACAGACCAGACACCACAGACCAGAAACCACAGACCAGAAACCACAGACCAGACACCACAGACCAGAAACCACAGACCAGACACCACAGACCAGAAACCACAGACCAGAAACCACAGACCAGAAACCACAGACCAGACACCACAGACCAGAAACCACAGACCAGACACCACAGACCAGAAACCACAGACCAGACACCACAGACCAGAAACCACAGACCAGACACAACAGACCAGACACCACAGACCAGAAACCACAGACCAGACACCACAGACCAGAAACCACAGACCAGAAACCACAGACCAGAAACCACAGACCAGAACACAGACCAGAGACACAGACCAGACACAGACACCACAGACCAGAAACCACAGACCAGACACCACAGACCAGACACCACAGACCAGACACCACAGACCAGAAACCACAGACCAGAAACCACAGACCAGACACCACAGACCAGACACCACAGACCAGAAACCACAGACCAGACACCACAGACCAGAGACAACAGACCAGAAACCACAGACCAGAAACCACAGACCAGACACCACAGACCAGAGACAACAGACCAGACACCACAGACCAGAAACCACAGACCAGACACCACAGACCAGACACCACAGACCAGACACCACAGACCAGAAACCACAGACCAGAAACCACAGACTGAGGCTGTCACTGTGCGGTGTGTGCGCCATGTGCACGGTGTGCGTTGTGTGCACGGTGTGCACGGTGTGCGTTGTGTGTGCGGTGTGTGTGCGGTGTGTGTACGGCCTGTGCGGTGTGTGTACGGCCTGTGCGGTGTGTGTACGGTGTGTGCGCCATGTGCGGTGTGTGCACGGTGTGCGGTGTGTGTGCGGGCCGTTACAGAGGACTCACTGGCGCCCCCATGAGCCAGAATGAGATCACTGCAGGTCAGACGCAGGCAGATGCAGCAGCACTTGTACCGCTTCAAACTCTCTCGACACAGAACAGACTTTCAAATCTGATCTTATTGGACGGACCACTCTTGGATCAGCTGCAGATGGTCAGACACGCCTGCGGCTCTGGGAGAAGTGCAGCATCTACAACCTGAGAAGTGCAAGGACAGTGGAGACAGTGGAACCCAAAACATGCTGCAGCCTTTTCTAGGTCAAATAATGAGCAGAGCTTCTCTCATTTTTCAGTAGCTCTTTCTAGCTCAAGCAAATCCCTGAAGGAATGTATATAATGGATATATTATTTTCACTAATGTCTGTTGACAGTTGTAAATAAAACTCCTTCAGGGAAAGAGAAGTGCATTCCATCGTATTAAAAGCATGAAAACATCCACTGGGCAAAAAAAAAAAAAAAAAAAGAACCAGCACTTCTTTGGGCCACTTAAAGCACTGGTCTGAAGAGACTTGAGACAAAGCCTGCAATTGAATATTTATTGTCAAGATGAACAGACAGCAGCAGACTTAGACTAATATATTTATTTCAGTAGGATTGGGATTAGACCCCGGCAGGAACACACCACAACTGCAGAAGGAAGGATTATAGAAATATGAGCTGGGACCAAGAGCCACTTTTGGAGCGTTCTTTAAAAAGGTTTTCCAGAGTAAAGAGGACGCCAGACAAAAGCATCGGGTGATTCTCATTTTCTCATCTTTTGGAGCCGGGACCCGCCCCCACTGTTACAAACACAATAACATAAGATAAGAGAGGGGGGGGGGGGGGGGTGGAGCACAGCCTCAGTGTTTGTGATCCCCATCCTTTAGGCGGGTAAGAAAAGGCTGAACAGATGTGAGGGAGCAGAGGGTCTGAGGGCCGCCGGCAAATGGGGATAAGAGGGAAATAATGATGTGGCCTCGTGGAGCATGAGTGGCCCGGCTCGGCACAGATCAGATCTGCTCTTCACTCAGACACACGGCCTCAGACCCAATCAAAGGACAAATCATGCCGTGTAATATGTGGAACTGAAGACTTGAAACATACAGTATACTTAAACCAACAATATAATACAGATTTACACCGTCTACAGCGGACTATGTACATGTCCGGACTATGTACATGTCCGGACTATGTACATGTCCGGACTATGTACATGTCCAGACTATGTACATGTCCGGACTATGTACATGTCCGGACTATGTACATGTCCGGACTATGTACATGTCCGGACTATGTACATGTCCGGACTATGTACATGTCCGAAAAATGTACATGTCCGGACTATGTACATGTCCGGACTATGTAATTGTGCGGACTATGTATATGTTCGGACTATGTACATGTCCGGACTATGTACATGTCTGGACTATGTACATGTTCGGACTATGTATATGTTCGGACTATGTATATGTCCGGACTATGTACATAGTCCGGACTATGTACATGTCCGGACTATGTACATGTCCGGACTATGTACATGTCCGGACTATGTACATGTCCGGACTATGTACATGTCCGGACTATGTAATTGTGCGGACTATGTATATGTCCGGACTATGTACATGTCCGGACTATGTACATGTCTGGACTATGTACATGTTCGGACTATGTAGATGTTCGGACTATGTATATGTTCGGACTATGTATATGTCCGGACTATGTACATGTTCGGACTATGTACATGTTCGGACTATGTATATGTTCGGACTATGTATATGTCCGGACTATGTACATGTCCGGACTATGTACATGTTCGGACTATGTATATGTTCGGACTATGTACATGTCCGGACTATGTACATGTTTGGACTATGTACATGTTTGGACTATGTACATGTTTGGACTATGTACATGTTTGGACTATGTACATGTTCGGACTATGTACATGTTTGGACTATGTACATGTTCGGACTATGTACATGTTTGGACTATGTACATGTTCGGACTATGTACATGTTTGGACTATGTACATGTTTGGACTATGTACATGTTCGGACTATGTACATGTTTGGACTATGTACATGTTTGGACTATGTACATGTTTAAGAGATTCACACATTTTAGTAAAACTGAATATTTTTACTGCTGAAGTAAAATAAAACCTGCTTTACAGAAATTACAATTTATAACGTCAAATTAAAAACAGACCTTTAAATCGTAATAAACTGGTGACAAAGCAAACAAAAGGTTATTTATGTATCTATTGATTCATTTATTCAATAGGAACAACATGAGAAACATTTATAGCCAATGATGAAGAAGGTTTTTAAGTAAATATTACAAAGCAAGTGTTTCTTTTGTGTTACCGTCTGAAAGTGAAGCAGACATCGCCTCTTGGGCCGACTGTGGAGTTGTGTAGTTATTGGACACAGCCCATTAACAAACCCAACACCATTATGTTTTATAGCCACCATTAAACTTCATGTAATCATCAACAATGGATAATTAACTCATTAATGCGCCATGTAAGTACAACTTATGTGACATCAACTCTGCAGCACAAGCCTGCGACGAGCTGAGAGCGCGGCACTGTCACCGCTACACAACTTCACACCCCAGGGTATCACACACACACTCCAGGGTATCACACACACACACAACTACACACTCCAGGGTATCACACACACACACACACACACCTACACACCCCAGGGTATCACACACACACAACTACACACCCCAGGGTATCACACACACACAACTACACACCCCAGGGTATCACACACACACAACTACACACTCCAGGGTATCACACACACACACACACACCTACACACCCCAGGGTATCACACACACACAACTTCACACCCCAGGGTATCACACACACACAACTACACACTCCAGGGTATCACACACACACACACACCTACACACCCCAGGGTATCACACACACACACACACCTACACACTCCAGGGTATCACACACACACACACACACACCTACACACTCCAGGGTATCACACACACACACACACACACACGCACACACACACACACCTACACACTCCAGGGTATCACACACACACACCTACACACTCCAGGGTATCACACACACACACACACACACACACACACACACCTACACACTCCAGGGTATCACACACATACACACACACACCTACACACTCCAGGGTATCACACACACACACACACACACCTACACACTCCAGGGTATCACACACACACACCTACACACTCCAGGGTATCACACACACACACACACACACACACTCCAGGGTATCACACACACACACACACACCTACACACTCCAGGGTATCACACACACACACACACACACACACACCTACACACTCCAGGGTATCACACACACACACACACACACACAAACCTACACACTCCAGGGTATCACACACACACACACACACCTACACACTCCAGGGTATCACACACACACACACACACACCTACACACTCCAGGGTATCACACACACACCTACACACTCCAGGGTATCACACACACACACACACACACACACACACACACACACAACACACACTCCAGGGTATCACACACACACACACACACACCTACACACTCCAGGGTATCACACACACACACACACACACTACACACTCCAGGGTATCACACACACACACACACACACCTACACACTCCAGGGTATCACACACACACACCTACACACTCCAGGGTATCACACACACACACACACACACACTCCAGGGTATCACACACACACACACACACCTACACACTCCAGGGTATCTCACACACACACACACACACACACACACACACACACACACTCCAGGGTATCACACACACACACACACACACAAACCTACACACTCCAGGGTATCACAGACACACACACACACCTACACACTCCAGGGTATCACACACACACACCTACACACTCCAGGGTATCACACACACACCTACACACTCCAGGGTATCACACACACACACACACACACACCTACACACTCCAGGGTATCACACACACACACACACACACCTACACACTCCAGGGTATCACACACACACCTACACACTCCAGGGTATCACACACACACACACACACCTACACACTCCAGGGTATCACACACACACACACACACCTACACACTCCAGGGTATCACAGACACACACACACACCTACACACTCCAGGGTATCACACACACACACACACCTACACACTCCAGGGTATCACAGACAGACACACACACAAACACACACCTACACACTCCAGGGTATCACACACACACACACACACACACACCCAGGGTATCACACACACACACACACACCTACACACTCCAGGGTATCACACACACACACACACACACCTACACACTCCAGGGTATCACACACACACACACACACCTACACACTCCAGGGTATCACACACACACACACACACACACCTACACACTCCAGGGTATCACACACACACACCTACACACTCCAGGGTATCACACACACACACACACACACACACACTCCAGGGTATCACACACACACACACACACCTACACACTCCAGGGTATCACACACACACACACACACACACACCTACACACTCCAGGGTATCACACACACACACACACACACAAACCTACACACTCCAGGGTATCACAGACACACACACACACCTACACACTCCAGGGTATCACACACACACACCTACACACTCCAGGGTATCACACACACACCTACACACTCCAGGGTATCACACACACACACACCTACACACTCCAGGGTATCACACACACACACACACACACCTACACACTCCAGGGTATCACACACACACCTACACACTCCAGGGTATCACACACACACACACACACCTACACACTCCAGGGTATCACACACACACACACACACCTACACACTCCAGGGTATCACAGACACACACACACACCTACACACTCCAGGGTATCACACACACACACACACACCTACACACTCCAGGGTATCACAGACAGACACACACACAAACACACACCTACACACTCCAGGGTATCACACACACACACACACACACACCCCAGGGTATCACACACACACACACACACACACCTCAGTGTATGATAAGATATAATGTATTGATCTGTGATGGAGAAATGAACATGTCTCAAAGATAGAAACACTCAGATTGTGCTAAAAGAAAGAAATGTGCAACATGTTAAATGCAGGATAATTATGTACAATAAAAAAGTGGCAATTTAAAAAGTGTCAATATTAGTGCAGGTTTTTTCAGTCTTAATACAGTGATTTAAAGTGACTTGTTGTACAGTCTGACATCAGTGTGGATAAAGGGTGTCTCAGTCTTCCACTGAAGGAGCTCCTCAGCTCCTCCTCAGTCCTGTGCAGAGGGAGGTGTTGCTCATGATGGAGGTGGCTTTGACTCCTCCTGTCCCTCACCTCCTCTACAGAGTCCAGGGGCCTCCTGTCCCTCACCTCCTCTACAGAGTCCAGGGGCCTCCTGTCCCTCACCTCCTCCACAGAGTCCAGGGGCCTCCTGTCCCTCACCTCCTCCACAGAGTCCAGGGGCCTCCTGTCCCTCACCTCCTCCATAGAGTCCAGGGGCCTCCTGTCCCTCACCTCCTCCACAGAGTCCAGGGGCCTCCTGTCCCTCACCTCCTCCACAGAGTCCAGGGGCCTCCTGTCCCTCACCTCCTCCACAGAGTCCAGGGGCCTCCTGTCCCTCACCTCCTCCACAGAGTCCAGGGGCCTCCTGTCCCTCACCTCCTCCACAGAGTCCAGGGGCCTCCTGTCCCTCACCTCCTCCACAGAGTCCAGGGGCCTCCTGTCCGTCACCTCCTCCACAGAGTCCAGGGGGCAGCCCAGAGTGGAGCTGGCCCTCCTGACCAACACACACACAAACCCCAGGGTATCACACTGTCCAACACACCCCAGGCACACACACACACACACACCTTGGCATTTGAACCACACGGACACACACTCTGCTGTGCACAGAAGGACACACACAGAGGCTCATTATTCATCTCCTGAGAGATTGATGTCCGCTCTGACAGGTCGACGGGAATATTCCTCCCCCTCCTCCTGGGCGGCACGGTGGCTGAGTGATAGCAGTCTCGCCTCTCAGCAAGAAGGTCCTGGGTTCAAATCCCGGCCGGACCAGGGCCTTTCTGAGTGGAGTTTGCATGTTCTCCCCGTGTCTGCGTAGGTTTCCTCCGGGTACTCCGGTTTCCCCTACCACTAAAAACATGCACAATAGTTCTAGCATGTGCCTCCTGTTCGGTGACCCCGCTCCCATCTCTGTGTGGAGTGAGAGACAAGTGCCCAAAAATAATAACCATTGTAAACCGCTTTGTGACTCTGGTCTGTGAAAGGCGCTATATAAATAAAGATTACTTACTTACTTACTCCTCCCTCTCCTTCCCCACCTCCTCCTCACTCTCCTCACCCTCCTCACTTCCCCCCCCACCATCCCTGTTCTCCTCCTCCTCCTCCTCCTCCTCCTCCCCTCCTCCTCCCCCTCCTCCTCCTCCCCCTCCTCCCCTCCCCCTCCTCCCCTCCCCCTCCCCCCCCCCCCCCCCCTCCCCCTCCTCCCCCTCCTCCTCCTCCCCCTCCCCCTCCCCCTCCTCCCCTCCCCCTCCCCCCCCCCCCTCCTCCCCCCAGGTTCAATGACCATCAGGCGCCAAAGTGACACACACATCACTGACAGTCGGACACGGGCTAAATCCAAGGTCATTTATGGAACAAGACGATCTGCACAACACGCGACCACAGCCTTTGGAATCAGTATAATCTAACTATAATCTAACTATAATCTAACTATAATCTAACTATAATCTAACTATAATCTAACTATAATCTAACTATAATCTAACAAAATCTAACTCGCAATTAAGTCACATTTTGAAAGAAAAACACAAATAAAATAGTATTTAGCGACTGGAATCAATCTAAGTAGTTGACTCATTCCCAGAAACAGAAACAAATAAATGTTGAAGCCATCTGTGCCTTTTCAAACCCTGGGACTTTAGTTCAGAATCAGTTTTTAATTTGCAGAAATTATCCACAGTGGAACGAATGTGCTAAAATACCCAAACAACAAATATGAAAATACAACACCTTATAATTACAGAATAAAAAGGACAGAGTGTATGATACAGACGGCCGTGTCCAGTCTGATGACAGCTCGAGGGAAGAGAAGGTTAAAAACGGCCAAAAGACTCATGAGCTAGCCTGGTCGTACCACTCCATAGTACAAATTTCATTTCATACTAAGGTCTGGATTTGCTCCATTGACTCCGTGAACAGGTGGGAGGGGTTAACTCCTTTTGCAGATTGAAACCATTGGATCTGAGTTTACCGTGACGTATGAAATCAGCCTGAGTCTGTCGTTAGCATTTAGCAATTAGCCTAGCTTTAGCCATCTCCTTTGTCGCTAACGGAGCGCGTGGGGAGTAGCGGCACAATTTTTCCAGCGATTACATTTGCTAAACATTCCTCTTGCTCTTACCGGATTACTTTACTATCGCATTTTTCGCCATCACCAAACTACAACCTTCCCGTTCGACGCAAACTCTTGACGTGACCCACATCTAACTATAACACCGCCTCCCGCGCTCTCTGATTGGTCGGTCGAAATTCAACCGATTGTATTCGCTAACACAGGGACCAGACCCAGACGTTAGATGCAGGAAATGATGAATGACCGGGCTACTCATGAGCGACTCCAAGAACTTAATTTAAAAGTCTAAATGTGACCTCACAAAGGACCTGTGTTTTTTAATGCATTCAACACAAGTATTCGCTACATGTATATACAGTGCCTTGCGAAAGTATTCGGCCCCCTTGAACCTTTCAACATTTTGCCACATTTCAGGCTTCAAACATAAAGATAACAAATTTAAATGTTTTGTCATGAATCAACAACAAGTGGGACACAATTGTGAAGAGGAACAAAATTTATTGGATAATTTAAACTTTTTTAACAAATAAAAAACTGAAAAGTGGGGCGTGCAATATTATTGGGCCCCTTTACTTTCAGTGCAGCAAACTCAGTCCAGAAGTTCAGTGAGGATCTTTGAATGATCCAATGTTGTCCTAAATGACTGATGATGATAAATAGAATGCACCTGTGTGTAATCAAGTCTCCGTATAAATGCACCTGCTCTTTGATAGTCTCAGGGTTCTGTTTAAAGCACAGAGAGAACCATGAAGACAAAGGAACACACCAGGCAGGTCCGAGATACTGTTGTGGAGAAGTTTAAAGCCGGATTTGGATACAAAAAGATTTCCCAAGCTTTAAACATCTCAAGGAGCACTGTGCAAGCAATTATATTGAAATAGAAGGAGTATCAGACCACTGCAAATCTACCAAGACCCGGCCGTCCCTCCAAACTTTCATCTCAAACAAGGAGAAGACTGATCAGAGATGCAGCCAAGAGGCCCATGATCACTCTGGATGAACTGCAGATAACTACAGCTGAGGTGGGAGAGTCTGTCCATAGGACAACAATCAGTCGTGCACTGCACAAATCTGGCCTTTATGGAAGAGTGGCAAGAAGAAAGCCATTTCTCAAAGATATCCATAAAAAGTCTTGTTTAAAGTTTGCCACAAGCCACCTGGGAGACACACCAAACATGTGGAAGAAGGTGCTCTGGTCAAATGAAACCAAAATCAAACTTTTTGGCCACAATGCAAAACGATATGTTTGGTGTAAAAGCAACACAGCTCATCACCCTGAACACACCATCCCCACTGTCAAACATGGTGGTGGCAGCATCATGCTTTGGGCCTGCTTTTCTTCAGCAGGGACAGGGAAGATGGCTAAAATTGATGGGAAGATGGATGGAGCCAAATACAGGACCATTCTGGAAGAAAACCTGTTGGAGTCTGCAAAAGACCTGAGACTGGGACGGAGATTTATCTTCCAACAGGACAATGATCCAAAACATAAAGCCAAATCTACAATGGAATGGTTCACAAATAGACGTATCCAGGTGTTAGAATGGCCAAGTCAAAGTCCAGACCTGAATCCAATCGAGAATCTGTGGAAAGAGCTGAAGACTGCTGTTCACAAACGCTCTCCATCCAACCTCACTGAGCTCGAGCTGTTTTGCAAGAAAGAATGGGACAGAATTCCAGTCTCTCAATGTGCAAAACTGATAGAGACATACCCCAAGCGACTTGCAGCTGTAATTGCAGCAAAAGGTGGCGCTACAAAGTATTAGCGCGAGGGGCCGAATAATATTGCACGGCCCACTTCTCAGTTTTTCATTTGTTAAAAAAGTTTAAATTATCCAATAAATTTTGTTCCACTTCACGATTGTGTCCCAGTTGTTGTTGATTCTTGACAAAAAATTAAATTTTTATATCTTTATGTTTGAAGCCTGAAATGTGGCGAAATGTTGAAAGGTTCAAGGGGGCCGAATACTTTCGCAAGGCACTGTATATATATATATATATATATATATATATATATACACACACAATCAATAATGTCAATGAGAAAGTTAAACCAACAATAACAACATTAAGTGATGACACATGGCTCTGAAGTGTGTTAGTTTGTTTTTCTTATTGTGTTGATTATTGTCTACTGTGTTATACGTTTGTTATTATCATTGATATTATTGCTTATTGTTATGGTTTGGTATTTAAATTATAGAGACACAAAATTATTTAGTTGATAGATACCCATGTACAGATACGTGAGGATATAAATGAGTCTGGAAATGTGTAGAAAACTTCTGATGGTTTTGGTTTTGTTTATTTTCCCGGTGTAACGCCGAGATACACTTCCTTGAAGAGATGCACTTCCCCAGCTGTTTATGATGTAATGCAAACCTGCGCATGCGCGTCTCACGGCAACCGAAGCAAACCAAGATGGCGGACCGTGAATTGCTTTAAAAGTTGAAATACGAACGAATTAAGACACGAATGTCACTTGTAATGCAATTTGAGGCGAGATGTTGATGGTTCCGTTTTGTCACATGTGGGTTTTAAGAGTCAAAGTTTCGTGCAAAGTTTAGTTTAAGCAGTCAACTGCGCCTGTGAAACCACAAAGCTAATGTTTTCATAGCAGTCCGCGGCTGCTGACGTAGGCTGATGACGTAGGCTGATGACGTAGGCTGCTGACGTAGGCTGCTGACGTAGGCTGATGACGTAGGCTGCTGACGTAGGCTGCTGACGTAGGCTGATGACGTAGGCTGCTGACGTAGGCTGATGACGTAGGCTGCTGACGTAGGCTGCTGACGTAGGCTGATGACGTAGGCTGCTGACGTAGGCTGATAGGCTGATGACGTAGGCTGATGACGTAGGCTGATGACGTAGGCTGCTGACGTAGGCTGCTGACGTAGGCTGATGACGCGTCCTGTGGCCACTCTACACTCTTACACTGGTCTGTCGGGTTGATAATGGAAATAATAAATTTCATTCAATACATGTATCGTACTGTATTTAATATGATTAACAATAGTGTGTTCAAACAAAATATTTAATTAGATTGATTTTTTTCCCCATTTTCCATTATCAACCCGACAGACCAGTGTAGGAGTGTAGAGTGGCCACAGGACGCGTCATCAGCCTACGTCATCAGCCTACGTCAGCAGCCTACGTCAGCAGCCTACGTCAGCAGCCTACGTCATCAGCCTACGTCAGCAGCCTACGTCATCAGCCTACGTCAGCAGCCTACGTCAGCAGCCTACGTCATCAGCCTACGTCAGCAGCCGCGGACTGCTATGAAAACATTAGCTTTGTGGTTTCACAGGCGCAGTTGACTGCTTAAACTAAACTTTGCACGAAAAAGTGACATTCGTGTCTTAATTCGTTCGTATTTCAACTTTTAAAGCAATTCACGGTCCGCCATCTTGGTTTGCTTCGGCTGCCGTGAGACGCGCATGCGCAGGTTTGCATTACATCATAAACAGCTGAGGCTGTGCATCTCTTCAAGGAAGTGTATCTCG